CATCCCATCCCATCCCATCCCATCCCATCCCATCCCATCCCATCCCATCCCATCCCATCCCATCCCATCCCATCCCATCCCACCGCAGCCCCGACAAACACCCCGCCGGTCTCTCCTCGGCGAGGCTGGATGGTGGTGGATCATCGATGCGATTGCGACAAGCGTTGCCTTCGTACGTACCATACCGTACTGTACTGCCGTACGGTGACGGAACCGTACGGTAGTTTGACTTGGTTTTTGGGTTTTCTTCTTCCTACGGTACGTACGGTACGTACGGTACATTCAATTCAATTCAATGCACGTTTGAGAAAACAAAACAAGACAAGACAAGACACGTTTCAGGATTCCCGACAGAAGACGACATAGTTGGCTACGGTACGGTACTGGTACAGTACGAAGTAAGTAGATTGATTCATTCCAAAACGGTATTTTTTGTTGATGGATGGGAACGGCCCTAGTAGTGCGCAAGCAGTAGGAATATCGAGAGAAAACCAGCTTGCACTGCATTCTTGTTTCGTCCCGCCCCACGAGGGCTAGGTCTTGCAACACCCCATGCCGTGTCACGGGAGCGATCTCACGACTGCCCCACGACTACGATCCAAGGACCCGTCCGCGCTTTCTTCCGCGATCCCGTACACTGGAGACGAGGCAAACAGTCAGCGGTTTCTGTACCTCTTCTCCCCGCCGTGAAGGCGCCCGGGAACAACTCCTGCCGGGCACTACACCCGGTGTGGTCTGTTCTCGGAGGATCCGCGCAAGATTCGCGGCGTGCAGCACCGCACGGAGAATCGATGAATTCGAGCTTTGGAAAAAGAAATCCGCAGCGGATCCCATAACACCAAAACAGCACACTCCGAAACTCGAATGTTCCGTCCCTTTCGAACAGATTCCATCCAACAAACGCTGTTATTAACCACCAAGGTAGGTAGATGAAGCCGCGCATCGCTTTCTTCGACGGTGTCTGCCGCCGTCGTTCCGACAGGGAGGCGGCGGCTGCTGCTGCGGCTGCGATTTAATGTTCCGTGCAACACAACCTTCTCACGATCCGCGGCGTTGCTGCTTTGCTCCGCTCTGCTTGCTTGTGGCTTCACACTGCTGCTGTTCGACAGAAACAAACAACCACCAACTACCACCATGAAGCCCTCCTCCCTTGTCTCGTTCCTGTTCGTCCTCGCGGTCCTCTCCCCCCTCTGTTCCGGGGAAACCGATCGTGTTGCTCCCCCCCGTTCGAGAACGCCCGCAACCAGAAACCAGAGAAGGACCAAGGGAAAGCACCCAAAAAAGGACCCCTGGATCGACACAAAGCCGTGGATCCCTTGGCCCGCTCCCCCGCACAACCCCACCGCAGCGCTTGCGGCCCAGAAATCCATCTTGCTGGTCGTGGCTTTCCCCCTCGAGGAAAGGGCCTCCTTTCGCAGGCAAAAGGTCGAAACAAGCCTCTCGAGGGCCGTCTCGAGGGTCCCGTACACCACAACGATCGGGCGGGCCTCGGCCGGGACCTTTCTGGGGGTCTCCGTTTCCGCCTCGGACCCCCTGGACTGTTCCGAAACGCCGGGCTTTGGGGGGGAGGGGGCTCCCGAGCTGCCCTGCGGATCCACCAAAGTGGTGTGCAGCACCTTGGAGGTCTCCCTGGAGGTCCCCTCCTCTTCCTCAAGGGGCCGCCGCAGGCACAAGCGCAAGGCCAACAAGGCCGTCCGCAAAGGCGCAAGGGCCGTCCGGGCCGCCGTCAAGGACGGGACCCTGGACCGCCTGCTCCTAGGGGCCAGGGGGGGAGGGACTTTTCCGGGCGGCCTTGCAATCGTCCTCGCACGCAAGAAGCAGGGAGACGGCGACGAACCACCCCGAAGGGCCTGCGAGGACGACGCCTCCTTTCGGTACGGGGGGGATCCGGCGAGGGGCTGTTGGTGGGTCGGGGAGGCCAAGACGGCCAAGCGGTGCCGAACCGCCGTTGGGGACCACCGGAGGGTCCGGTTCTACTGCCCCTCTTTCTGCAAGGCTTCCTGCAACACCCCGACGGGGGCTCCGACCCTGGCCCGGTCTGCGGCCCCTTCGGCGGGCACTTCTGCGGGCAGCACCGTAGTTCCCTCCGCGGCCCCTTCGGCGGGCAGCACCGTAGTTCCAACGGCGAATCCCTCGGCGGCCAGCACCGTAGTTCCAACGGCGGTTCCCACCGCGAGCTCCTATCCGAGTTCGGCACCCAGCCAATCCTGAACGGAACGAAACCGAGCAGGCGAAACACAAATCCCGACAACAACGCAACAGCAACGCAACGCAACGCAAAACAACACCACATCGATCCAAAACCACACCAAAATCCTTAATCCATCCATAACCATAGTAGAAATAGTGCATTGAGAAAACAGCTTGCTAAACCAACAATTTATTGTCAATGGCGCTTGGCCGTTTGTTTCGTTTTTGAAAGGACGAAAGGCGAAGGCATCCGAGGTGCTTGCATGCCTCTCTGGGGGGCAAACATTGGCGAGTTGCACCGTTGCTAGTACTTATTGCAAGCCATCGCGGACAATTTCTTCTGTTCCAGATCACTCGTCTTCCTTGGAATTTTCCACCACCAATCACCGCGTCGAAACCTTCCTTTTCACCAATAGATGCATATATGATTCTGCCACGAAACCCTTTCAACGGATAGCAGTGATGGAACAACTTCGGAGCCTCACCCATGGCAACGAACGAGTCTTTTCTCGTCGCCTCTTGCCTTGGCACCTTCGACGGAACGCACCGCGAGGTTGAGGCGTTCCTGTCTCTTGGCACGGGCGTCGTGGGACAAGCTTGTTTCTTAGGTCTTCATCGACAGCCATAACAGGCTACTACTAGCCTTTGCGAAAGACGTTGTTCTGGGGGTGCAATCGAATACTGGCAAACAGCGAAAAATCGGTACACACGGATGTCCCAGCAGGAAGCAATACAGTAACTTTCAACTTGCCATGCTCGGGACTTATATCATGAGTAGCTTTGCCGTTTTTGGTTCTCGGCACGGAATCGACAGTGTCAATGCACGCCCACAGCTGTCGATTTTTCTGCACCTACCGGAAAAAAGAGTTTGGAAGACGATTCCAATCGCGAATGCTTCGCTTGCCGCTCTTTGCTCTGCCGGCCGGCCGGCCGTTCCTTAGCAACCGGACGTGCCGAGGGGTTTCGAGAGGAGAAAGACGTAGGACTTGGCACCCCTGCCGAGGTCCGAGTCTGTTTCGTCCAGGAGCCGAAGGCTGTACCCAAAGGGACCGAAGAGCTCCCTTGCGACGCAAGGGGTGACCGCAAAGGGCGGTCCTTTCCGGTCGGGGCCGGGGTCCACCCCCACCACCAGGATCCGGCCCCCCGGCTCCAGCAGCGCGTCCACCACGCAGGCGTACTGCTGCCGGCTTTGCGGCGGGACCGCCACGATCGCTCCCCGGTCAAAGACCGAAGCAAACATGGCCGTTTGCGCCCCAAAGGTTTCCGGGGACAGGCCGAAGAAATCCCCGCAAACGATCGACACCACGCGGGAATCCTCCGCGTCGCCGCCGGCGTCGACGGCTGGCATCGGCGGAAACCACTCGGTGTCCTCGTTCGCGGTGGTCCAGAGGCTCCCGGGACCGACCCCGCCTCCGCCTTTGCTCTCGATGCACCGCAGCTCGCCGAGGGATTCCTCCTTGAGTTCCTCGATGGCCTTTTCGACTCCCTCCACGCCCACCACACACCGATGGCCTTGGTCTCTCAGCCACCGCAGGTCGACGGTCTTCCCGCACAGCGGCAGCAGGATCGGCCGGTCCTTCGGGGGATCGAACCCGTTGCCGTAAAACCGGACGAGATCGGGATTGGGCTCCGGCAGGTGAAACTGGGGCGTTCCCCGGTACTCGTGGTTCCACTTGGTGTCCCACCGGACCAGCCGGTCGACGGTCCCGTCGGACCGCTCGAAGAAGCAATCGTTGGGTTCGTCCGCGCTCCGGAGGTCGGAAAACCGAAAGCCCACGCCCGGATCGACCCGGTAGGCCGAGAACCGCCCCCCTCCCCCGCAGCCCGTGAGGACGCAGTTCGCCGGATCGTCGTCGAAGAGGACGCAGCGGTCGGGCGGGACGCCGTAAAAGGCCGCGCAGGCCCGGACGTGCCGGGTCTTTCCCGGATCCGCCAGGCCCCTTGCCCCCCGGCTCTTGGGCCTCCAGGCCACGACGAAGAACTCGTGGGCGTGTTCCGGGGCGACGCGGAGGAGGACCTCGTGGACGAGCTCGTCCCCGAGGACCACGGCCCGGTCCCCGCGCCTCGGCCGCTCCACCCCGTCTCCGGAACGGTGCTGGGCGAGGTCGGAGTGGGTGCAAACGGCGAGGCCTACCCCCCTGGCCAGCAGGGCGGGGATGGCCCGGACGAAATCGGCCGAGGCGCACGAGGCGAATGCGTCGAGGTCCGACCGGGGGAGCCGGCCCCTGGAGTGGCGGGCGACGGCACACTGGTCGAGATCGAAGCAGACCACGTCGAACCGATCCTTCACCTTCTCCGCAAAGTTTGCGGCAGCGGCGTCCTCGCTGCAGGAGTTGTTGTTGTTGTTGTTGTCGCCGTCGTCGGCAGTGGTGGCATCCATGGTCCCTTTCGTCGTGGCTTGGGTAAAGCGATGGTCCTCGGTAGGGTCGGGGATGACGATTGGATCGGTGGTGGAGCCAAGGTCGAATCGATTGTCGTCGGCATCTGTGTCTGTGTCGATCGACGAGAGGGCCCGGCAAGAGGCTTGAAAATCTGTAAACATCCTATCCTGAGTACGAGTACGAGTACGAGTACGTACGTACGGGGGTGTAGTACTCGTATCCCGAGTGGGATGCGTCCAACTCTACCGTAGAAAAGAGAACGTTTTGTGGGAAAGTGATTCACGAATCTCAAAGGAATAATCAATCACGCATTATCCTGTTTCTGCTTTGTACCGAAGGATTACCGTCACAACTATTTTAGTACTTGAAAATTCTATACTTCCATGTTTTGACTTTCATGAGAATTATCAATCCAACATACTACTACGTAGTTTTATTCTACAATAATGTTATTAAAGTACATGTTAAGCTCAATACGAACCAGAAGATTATCTGTTTCTTGGTCTTTTGGGCAACGAATATCCCCTGCCGTCTTTGTCTTTTTCTAGATAGTGATCGTCTTTTCTGCTGCCCTTTGCTCTTCACGCAGCCGGTTTCGTCGTTTCCGCCTTCGTTTCAGTCTCATCAGTCGAAGTCTTTCTTCTTTTGCCGCGACTCCCTCGGGCGAGAGTGTCGGGAAATCCGTGGGGTAGTACGTGGGATAAAACGTGGGGAAAAACGTAGGGAAATAGGTCGGATTTTCCGTGTCGGCTTCCGTGGGAGAATCGGTTGGAGCTTTCGTGGGAGATTCCGAGGGAGCACCGGTTGGAAAGCCCGTGGGGTGAGGCGTCGGGAGTTTCGTCGGAGAATGGGTTTCTTCGCTCGTGTCCTCGCCAGGCGACAGGTTGGCTGCATATGCATCGGCATACGCATGGAACTCGGGATATGCATTGGGATATTCATCGGCATCTGCATCGGACTCCGCTGGAAATACCGTGGGATTGAGGGTCTGAAAGCCCTCGGCATCGATCGTCGGAGGGCTTGTCGGGGAATGGGCTTCCTCGCTCCGGCCCCCGCCGGGCGATGGGTGGCCCGCACCGGCACCGGGAGACGCCGTTGGAAATGCCGTGGGAGAAAGAGTATGAAAGCTATCGGGAAGGATTGTATAGAAGTCACCGAAATCGCCGGAAGACGGCGAGAGCATGCTGGCGTCTGCCGTTTCTCCGCCCTCGCCGTCGCCCTCACCATCGCCGTCTTCTTCGCCGTCGAGAGTCGTCCAAAAGGTCGTCTCCCACGTGTCCATCCAGGTCTCTTCCGAGGTTTCCTGCTGGGTGGCGGCCGTGGTGGCGGCTGTGGTAGCAACACCGGTGGGCTGGGACGTTGGGGGTAGGGTCGTTGGCGAGATCGTTGGCGAAATGGTTGGCGGAGAGGTGGGAGGCGGGCTCGGCGGAGGGGTGGCCGATGAGTTCTGGGTATCGATATCGGGTGTGTCGGGCGCATTAGCGACGACCTCGACTCTCTCGGTCGTTGCCGTCGGTGTGTGGCTCGCGCTCGGGTGCATGCTCACGCTGGGGGCCATGGAGGGAACGTTGTGTTTCTTGTCGGACTTGGCCTTTTTGGACTTTTTTCCGGATTTCGCGGACTTTGTGTAAGGGTATTCGTGCTGGTAAGTGTGTTCGTATTTCTCCTTCTTGGAAGATTTGCCTGCCTTGGCAGACTTCTCCGATTTGTGGGCTTTCGAGTCTTTCCATGTCTTGTACGCACGGGATGTCGAAGACACGTCCGGTTCCTTGTACGCACGGGATGTCGAAGACGCGTCCGGTTCCGGTTCGGGCTCGGGGGTCGACTGCCACAGGCCAAAGTAGGTCATAAAGTTCTCGAAGTTCGTACCCAGTTCTCTTCGTTGTCGAGGACCAGCAGGACCACGCAATTGGAGATCCGACGTTGCGCTGACAACCAATATAGACAGGAGCGTCACCCATGGAAGTCGAATCCTTCGTGCAACTACCATTTTTTCAGTTACTTTGTAATACAAATCAATGTCAATGTCGTTGTTTTCGATACCGACGCGTGGCTCCGTTTCGATTCCTATACGTTTTGATTGATTCTAATTGTTGTTTTGGATGTTCGAAATCAAGAAATGTGTGTTGCACCTTGCCTCTCGATACCTTCAAAACAAGGAAGATCGCTTTGTATCACACTTTGTGAAAGTAGATCGATAGGCAAAACGCTGTGGCACTCGGAAGAGAAATTTTCCCACGTGACGAATTATTTTTTGGATTAGATGTCTTTCGCTATTGCGCACTACCGTAAGGTACGATACGATGATGGGTTTGATGTCATGAAAAGGAGCAAAAATTATGCCACAAAGCTTCGTACTAATACATAAATGTTGTATCTCAACTGGAATAATTAACATACCGTCAATAATGTACGGTATGAACCACAGATCGTAATGATCCGTGACTCGTCTTAAGGCTTGAAAACAAGGCAATTGAAAAATTCTCTGTATAACCCTGAGCAGATTTTCCGTTCGTGTTCCAAAATTTTTGGCAAGTTCTAGGGAAGTCGAGGTATGACTATTATTATGACGGGGAGGACGTTACGAAATCGTACAATACTGGAAACAAAACATAATAAATGTTTCAACATGATGTTGAGACCGTTAACATTGGCAATAAGGAGGTACGCACACTACTGCTAGTTGTAGAGTTATTATTCATTGAACTAATACCGTCGTCGTAGCCAGAAGAAATTCGACAGGCACAATATGCTGTTGGTGATAAATCTCATTGATAAAACTCGCAGATAAAACAAATAGTAGATTATTGGACATGACGCTTTGGATTCGAACCGTCGAAATAAATTGAAGACGAGGAGCACTACCTGGCACTATTAATTGCTTAGTAAGGTTCGAATACGAGTAGCCTTGATTATTTCGTAGAAGTAAGGAACTAAATTTCGGTTTTGATTTCAGATGGAAGAGAAAAAAACTTTCTGTACTTACTAATACTTTTCCTAGGTAGTAATAGTAGCTAGGACTTGCTCCTGGTGTAGCATACCCCAGATCGTTGCAGGGGTCATAAATTGAGGACCCCTGGATCGTTGTCCATCAAACGTACTTCGTAATAAGTAGTAGAACGTACGAGCCTACTGGTACTATGTACTACCCAACGAATAGAAAAAATCATGCCGGTCGGGAATTTGTCGAAAGATCTTCCATGCCTTCTTGCCCAACCTATCATCTCTGCTATATACCCACAAGTGAAAGTACGAATACCTCGTGAAACTTCGTTTGGGTTCTGCTGTAGCTGAAACCATACCAAATACAACGGCTCTTGGTTGCGCAGGAGCAGACCATGCTGGGCACGAAACGACACCTAATCCTGGAGGTAGTGGTGGTGGTGGTTGCCTTGGTTTGGAATCATTCCCTCGAGGCGACTCGTTTTGGTCAGGGCGTTGACGCATTCCTCGCCACTGCCGTCTTCCCAAAGTTCCCCCGTGGTTGCACCGCTCCTCGGCAACCTCAATTTCCGTCGATGGGTCCGTTGTTCTCTCTGGGGGACTCCAGAGCTCCGCCGGACACAAGAGAGACGAATCGCGCCGGGAACGGCTCCGACGCAGTGGAGAAAAAGAACCGGAGAAAGCGGTCCCTGTACTCATTTTCGGAGGCCCGGAAGATTGCGCGGGGCCACGGGTTTAGCACCAGGGAAGAATTTATCGAGTACGACTGCGCCGGTGCCTACCAGGTGCCGAAGAACGCGGACGAGGTCTGGTCCGAGGACTGGACGAGCTGGGAGGATTTTCTTGGCCTCCGCCTCGCCGAGTTCGAGCAAGCCCGGGATGTGGCTAGATCCCGGGTGGGACCGAATTCGACTACGAGCTGGAAGGTTTCTACGGAGGAAGAATACCTGGAGCTCTTCCGATCGAAGCAGATCGACGACGACGACATTGCCAGCAGGCTGCCCTATCGGCCCGATCTCTTTTACAAGAACAAAGGATGGACGTCGTGGGAAGATTTCCTGTCCCCGGGTAGCGACGAATAACAGTACGATACAAAGGAAATGTGATCCCGAAGTTTCCCGTAGCTAGTATCTCTATTTTTTTCTTCTATAGCATTACTTGCAAATCATCGCTTGCACTCTAACGTATCCCCCTCTCGAATCCAAATCGTGCCGGCGTCGGATCCTTCTTCTCCTCGATCCCCGTTGCCAGCGCCCAGGCTGCTCGTGTCGGGCAGGATCCCCTCGGATGCTCTCAGAAAGATTCCAAAGACGATGCGCCCGTTGTTCCGTCTCCGATACGAGGCCAGCGCCCGGAGGGTCTTTCCCTTCTGGCCCGTCTCCGGATCGTAGTCCACCATGGCACACCTCGGGCAGTCGCCCTCGACGGAAAACTCGAGGCGGTGGTTTCGTGACAGGCGGACGGTCTTCCACTCGTCCTCCGCGTGGCCGTGGCAGCGGTCCGAGGCCGGGTGCCCACCTCTGGTGGTGTGACCCTTGACCACAATGTTGGCCCGGAACCGCTTCGCGGTACAGGGCGGCTGGTCCTGCTCCGAGAGCACCCCGTTCAGCGTCGCCACCGCGGACTCGGAGACCAGCAGGATGGGTTGCTCGTTGGAAAACCCGGGGCGGTCTTTGATGACTCTGTCGGTGGCAAGAGAAGAGTCGTAGCGGGCGAGCCAGCACTCGATTCCTAGGAAGGAGGCGAACCAGTCCGAAACGGAGGCATCCCCCCAGACCCTCCCACCGCAGGTGTCCCCGCAGACCCGGACGGCGTTTTCGCCCCCGTGGTACAGGGTTTCGGACAGGCCGACGACGAGGTCCTCGCACCCCGGAGCGGAGACGGTCATGGTTCCCGCCTCGAGGTCCACGACCGGGGAGACGAGCCCGAGCTTCGGGTGCTTCTGGAGGCGGAGGACGGTTCCCGACCTGTCCACGAGGGCAAACTCCCGGTCGTACCTCAGCTTTCCAGAGGGGAGGACCAGTGGCCATTTTGGTGCCCTCTGGGCCGCGCAGCTCTTGATCGGGAAAAGGTAGAGCTCGGACACGCTCACCTTGCTCTCCTCGGGTCCGGACTTTGGTTCGCAGTGGCCCGGAGCATTTCCACCTGTAACCACCGGGCTCGTTTCTGGGTTGTGGTTCCGAAAGGTGGTCTCCAGAAACCGGACAAAGACGTCCATGTCCTCCCAGAGGCTGTCCTTCCCAAAGCTCACACGAACGGCCCCCGTGGGGGTTCCACCGTCGAGATCGATGTGGTCCCCGCAGACGTGGCCGGTGGTTCGGTAGTGTTCTAGGGCCGTTTCTTCCCCCACCCCCAGGGCCCGCTGGCAGGCCCCCGGGTTGCAGAAGCACCCCGTTCGGAGCTGGATGGGGGGCCTGTGCAGGGAGGCCAGCTTGGAGACCTCGCTGTATCCCACCGGACTTCCATCGCTGCGGACCACGTTTAGGGCAACGGTCGGCCCGATGCCGTTGTTCTGGCGGTGCTCCCCTCCCCGGCCAGCCCAGGCCCCGTAGATTCGGACCACCATTCTTCCGTTGGCGTGCCTCATCTCGGAGAGACGCCTCGCCAGCTCCCCCGCCAGCGACACCGCGTGCCTGTGGACCGCGGGCATTCCCCCTAGCCTTTCGAGCGCGTCAAAGCCGTGCGAGAGGTCGGCAATTCCCCGAAAGTGGCAGGTCCCGCTGGCCAGGGACGCGAGGCCCGGCTTTGGCACCGTGTAGCCCCGAAAGGGCAGCACCAGGTCGACCGATCCACCCCCCTGGTAGTGCCCCCCACCAACGGTCGATGCTTCCAGCAGGACCTCCACCGACGGCCTACGCACCAGGAGGGCCCCCAGCCCGGTGGGATGGCCAAAGAGCTTGTAGAAGGACAGGGCGGCAAAGTCTGGATCCAGCTGGTTGAGGCGGACCTCGTCCGTGGCGGCGTGCTTGGCAATGTCGAGCATCGTGTGCCACCCGCTCTTCCGTGCGGCCGCGAGGATGGATTTCGCGTCGGGCCGGTCGCCACCAAAGTTGCACTCCGAGGGAAAGACCAGCAGGTGGCGGCGGTGCTCACGCATTCCGTGTCTGCCGCATCCTTTTCTCGGGCCGTTGGTGTTGTGGGGTTTGTCGTTGTCGTTATTGTTTTGGCATTTCTTTTCGACGCTGTGGTTCTCGAGCACCCGGTCTTCCAGCCGCTCAAAGTCCCCCACCGAGGTCAGTTGCTGGAGTTCTTCAGGAGTAAGACAGCAAAAGGCGGCCCCCTTCCGGAGGGCAACCGCCCTCATTCCCACCACCGAGTTGTGCGAGTTGGAAACGAAGGCAAAGATCGATCGCTTCTCTTCGTTGCCACCACCACCGCCACCGCGATCGACGCCGCCGGGCCTCCACGGAAACCGCTCCGCCACTGTCCGAAAGGCCTCGGTGGCCCCCGGTGTGAAGAGGACCTCGTACCCGGGGTGGACGTCCATGGCGGACGGCGGTTGCGGGCTAATGTCCTGTCCGGAGCGGGGGCCTTCCGGCAGGCGGAGCGAGGCGTACCTCCCGGGGCTTGCCCCAAGGTGTTCCAGGACCCTTCGCCGGGATTTCTCGATGTCCTCGGAAGCCCGGCTCGCGGCCGGCCCCGAGGAGTGGGGGTTGGCCAGGACCGGCCCGGCGGAGGCCGCGGCAAAGGCTCGTTCCAGCTGGGACCTCGACGGCAGGGCGGCCCCCGCGTAGTCCAGGTAGACTTCCCGCTCAAAGGCCGTGCCGTTGTCGTTGTGGCTCTTGCTGCTCTCGCAATCGCTGTGACCGTCAGCAATCCCTCCTTCCCGGCCCTGCGTCCGCTGCTCCGAATGGCCAATCGGCGTCTGCAGCGCCGGGAATTCCCTCGGCCTCCAGCCGTCTATGTGCCCGAGCTGGGATCCCCCGTACCCGTAATCGTCCCCTGCCCTCGACAGGAACTCCTTCTTTGCCGCCGTCCGGGGGTCGCCGGAAGCATCGATCGAGCGGCACCGCGTTCCTTCCCCCCGAGAGTTTGGCTCGGTGTGGCGTCCTTCTTCTTGTCGTCGTAGTTTTTGTTTTTTCTGTCCTTGCAGCCACCGCCATCTTCTCTTTTCTGGCAAGAACGCAACCACCAGGGCTACGGCTATCGCCACGGCCAGGGCGATTCCGGCCAATGCCTGGTGCAGCGTGTCAACCGATTCCATCGAGGAAAGCCGGGGACCGCATCGGAAGTATTCCTCCGGGAAGCTTCGGCTCGGACACTCCAGCGCTACGGCACCAGAAGAAGCCTCCCCCGCAGCATCGGCCTCTGCCTCGCCCCCGAAGCTCCGGTTTTTGCCGCTCTCGGCAAAACATCCGTCGTGGAAGGCCAGGGTCCGGGCCGGCGGGAAAACCGGAACCCCAGTCGCCATTCGAGGGACCGAATGCACCGTCGGTTTCCCTTGTGGTTTAGTCTCGAATGTTAGGCTCGGTAGGAAGGAATCTGCCGAATCGAATCGAATCAAATCAAATCGAACGCAATCCATCAACGCTGTGGCAGTCCGGAACAGTAATGCTTGGCGTTTGTGTTTGTATTTCGTCGTGTATCCAATTGATGTTGGCTTTGGCTTTGGCACTGTGCCAATCGTTGTTACAGCAGTTGTCGCTAATTTTCTTTTCAAATGATGTTTTTCGTTCCTCCGATTACACTAACGAACGAATGACACTTCAATCAAAATCGGAAGGAACAGAAGACGAAGGCTTGTTCTGAGAATTTTGGGTTGTACGATGCGCACGTTTAGTCTACATTGTACGTACACATGAAGTACTGTATTGTACAGGCAGAACACACGTGCAAGGTATGTACTGTACCAGTTAGTAGGGGAAAGGGAACAAGGCAAATCCAAAAGGATCTTTCATCCCTCGTCTTTCACTTGTGAGAGGCAATGAAGAAAGTAATCATATGTACCATACATATGATACAATATCCAGATTGATGCCACCTGTCTGTCCGTACACCCGGTTTCGAACGACATGCACATTTTTTCCTTTCTCCTCTCGACCTCATTTTTGAGTTTTGAAAATTCACATAAAGCATGTACGGTGTGATACGAGAAACTTGCGTACCGTGACGTCCACGACAGCAAAGACGTACCGTAATACACAGCATAATACCGAGCTGCGCGGTAAATCACCGTACCAAACCTACTAAGCCGATTCATACCGTTCAAAAACTACGAATGATGCCGGCACGTCTGTGTCTTTCTACGGTGCTACTTGTTCTCTACGACAACCAAAACAACTCGTTGTTGTCCGTCTCAGTCACACCGACCGACGACTTGTCCATCGATCCCCGTCACTATTGACTGCGCTAGCGTAGAGCACCGATCCACCCTCATTCCCAGAAGCAATCGCACCGTATTTGCATTTGATTCCGAGTTTCCAACATGGCCGACCTCAACGACATCGACGACACCGATCTCCCAGAGCCCTCTCTGAAGAACATCATCGACCAAAAGAGCCTCCAGTGGGTCTTTGTCGGAGGAAAGGGAGGTGTCGGTAAAACGACGACCAGCTGCTGCCTCGGAGTGCAATTGGCCAAGACCCGCAAGAAGGTACGTGTGATCGGCTCGTCTTGGCAAGAGCATTGCCCAAATAGTAGAAACGGCAGTGGTTTTGTTGGTTTTGTGTGGCCTGGCTTTTCGGTTTTGAGACGTGTCGTAGTTGCTTTTGCCGCGGATTCGAACAAGGAACCATCAACGGAGAGTGCAAGGATGGGCGGCATTCTCGGTCCTTCGAATCCTTCGTTTTCTATGATTGCACGTATCGAGCAACCGTGACGGGTTGACTTTTTCCCCTTGGCTCTACCGCAATACGACTGTATGCCCCAACCACACTCACCCCTGCCCGATGGCTTTGCTGCGCATCCAAACCAAACCAAACAATCACACAACCCACCGGCCTCTTTTGCACCCGCCAGGTCCTGATCGTCTCCACCGACCCCGCCCACAACCTGAGCGACGCCTTTTGCCAAAAGATCGGCCGCGAGCCCACCCCCATCGAGGGCTTTGACAACCTCTCCGCCATGGAGATCGACGCAAACAACGACATGGAGGAGATGCAGCGGACGATCGCCGAGCAGGGGGCCGACGACGAAAAGGACGGCGGCCTCTCCTCGATGATGTCCGAGCTCACCAACAGCATCCCGGGCATCGACGAGGCCATGTCCTTCTCGGAGCTCATGAAGCAGGTCCAGAACCTCGATTTCGACGTCGTCGTCTTCGACACGGCCCCCACCGGGCACACCCTGAGGCTCCTCTCCTTTCCCACCATCCTCGAGAAGGCCCTCGGAAAGGTCATGGAACTCAAGGACCGCTTTGGTGGCCTGATCGGACAGGCCACCGCCATGATGGGGGGAGGCCAAAACCCCGGTGCGACACAGGACGCCATCGTCGGGAGACTCGAGGAGACCCGGGTCGTCATCAACAAGGTTAACGACGCCTTCCAGGACCCCGCTCTGACAACCTTTGTAAGTGCAGCAGTGTCGCTTTGCGTCGGGTTCGGTTGACGAACGAAGAACATCGACGCGAAGGAGAACTTGTGGACTCACCACTCCTTGTTTGGCATTTGTTCCCGTCTTGTCTTGTCGTTCTGCGTTGTCTGTCCGCGATTTCGAATCGATAATCTTGCTGGTGCTGTGCAGGTCTGCGTTTGCATCCCCGAATTCCTTTCCATCTACGAAACGGAGCGATTGGTCCAGGAACTCTCCAAGTTCGGAATCGATGCCCACAACATCGTCGTCAACCAGGTCCTCTTCCCCGAAAAGGACGCCGAGGAACTCGCGGAGTGGTACGAGGGCAACAAGGATTCCCTGCCGTCGGAGGCCAAGGAAATCTGCGCCAAGATGCTGGCCCGAAAGAGAATGCAGGACAAGTACATCGGCCAGTGCTTCGACCTGTACGGGGACGACTTTAACGTGACGCTCATGCCGCTCCTGGACTACGAGGTCCGGGGATCCGAAAAGCTCAAGGACTTTTCGGAGTTTTTGACTAACCCCATCGACATGGAGGAGTAAACAAAGCAAAACCATTTGAAAAGAAAAAGAAAAAACCAATGAACCAAACCTTTATCTAAACACACTACTTTCTAAATCAATCCAGATCTATCTCTGCGGACCAGCAGCAAGAAAAAAGACAGAAAGAAGAGATCATTTATAAAACAGATACCCACGAAGGTCAAATCGTTAGACGTATTTTTCGTACAGCGCGACGCATCAGAAGTGTTGCCACACCAATTGCTTTGCAGCCAGGATACTAGATGTGTCTGGCGTTTGTCACATATTTTTTCATATTCGGGTTTTGGATTCATTCCTTCGTAAAGAAGTCGATGGCTGCGTATCCCGCACTGGTCCTAGAAATGATATTTGTACGCTACAACTGCCCATGGAAGTCTCTACGCCTGTGAGGATTTAGGGTGACCGAATGTGAGTTTCCCATTTTGTATCTGCCTCCATTTGATAGTATACGGCATGTTCAGCAAACTTTCTCATGGTGCCAAAAAATATTGCAGGCCATATGCGTGTGGCACCAAAACAACGATTCGAATCACAACAAAAAGGTCTGTAGTCAAATTCCCTCAGACACGCCTGGCTTCAGACAACGAGTGTACACTAATGCTTGGCAATAAATGAAACAAACGCCAAAACAGACTCCAATAAAATTGTTTTCTGCTGTATTATATTTAAAGTACATAACATTGCGACTAACGGGGGTCGAAACGAAGAGAAACGGCCCCACACCCAGCACCGCATGCCCACCAGTCGGGTGGCAAAACCAAAGCAAAATCCACTCAGATCCGCGCAGGAGAATTGCGGAGATACACGCCAAGGTCGTCTTCGTGTATGGATTCCTGGACACGGAGGGTAAGCGCGTCCAGGATGCTCTCTTCGTTGGCACTGGAGGCCTCCTCTTCTTTCGTCCAGACAGTCATCAGCGCAATGGCCCGCTCGGTAGAGGTTTCCCGGGCACGCGCCAGGCGTCGCATCGCCATCGTGTGCAGCTCCTGTTTCAGAAGCTTGCTCTCCAGGTGGGCCTCCTTTGCCTCCTTGACGGTGGTGTGGGAGACCACGGGTCCAAGCTTTGCAAGTTTTTCGTTCAGTTCCTTTACCAGCACCGGCATCTTCTTGCGCGTAGCAATGTTGATGGCAGAGGTAATGTCGGTCTTTTTCTCAAACGCGGTGAGGGCCGATGCCCGGACCTGGCTAAAGTGTTTCTCGAGCTGGATGCCCACGCACTCCATGTAAACAAAGCTCTCGATTGCTTCGACACGGTGGCTGTAGTCCTTTAGGACTTCTCCGAGCGACTCCAGCAACCACTCGGTGCTTGAGTCTCGGCTTTCGATGTACATGTTCAGGGCGTTTCCGCAGCTTCCAATCTCGATGCTCCTCCAACCCGCTGGGTCCGATATGCTGATTCCCTCCCGTTCCAGGAGAGCCGCGGGCAGGACGCTGGGTTGGTCGCCCACCGGCACATAGGAGTACGAGAGAAGGTTTTGGATCTCGGTGATAAAGTCGGCGCGGACGTCTCGGATGTCTCCCATGCTGCCCTGTAGGATCGAGTTTCGCAACACGTCCAGGCCCTCGATGCACCTCTCGACGTTCTCCCTAAGATTGATGGCGTGCTTCCGAACAGTCCGGAGAGCCCTCGTGGTTTCTTCGACCCGCACGTTGGCGTCGTTGACCCCGACCGCTTCCATGATGGACATGGCGAGTTTTGCGTCCCAGCGCCCTATCCGTGCCCGGCAATCGTTCATAGCCTTGATTCTGCGCTTGGATTTCTCCGACTCTCGCTGCTCCGTTTCGAAAGATAGTTCGACGCCCTTCTCCACTTCTTCGGACCGGTCCTCTCCGCCCTCCTTGACGAATTTCTTGGTGTTCCCAATGTTGACAATCTTGTGGACCAGCTTGATTTCGGTCTCCTTGTCTTCCTTGGTCTCGATGTGATGGCGGTTTACCATTTTCGAGAGCGTGTCTTTCGAGGCAATGTTGACCTTTTTATTGAGTTCCACGGCCGCATCGCGGAGGGCCTTGCACTGCTCTTTTTCCTTCTCGAGAAAGGCATAGATCATCCGCGACGTTCGCACCGGAGCGGTCCTGCACACGGTGGACATGTAGTCCTTCAGCAAGGTTTCGTTCACCAGCAAGCGATTCTCGATGGACTGTACTTCTTGCCGCAGCCGATAGCGGCGTTCCTCTCCGGCCGAACCGGCGATTCCACCCGCCTCGTCGTTGATGGTGGAGGCGAGCTGCTTCTTGACCACCATGAGGCCCTCCTGGATCTGCTTCGCCAGCATCCCCGGTGGAGCCGAAGCATCCGCTTCCATCTCTTGGTGTTCCTTCTCAAGGAGCTCCGTTTTCGACTTTTGTGCAGCCAGTTTCTGCAATCCCTTGAGGTACGCCGTGATGGAAGGCTCGACCGTGCTGAGGTCCGCAACATAGGCGCCCAGCATGATATAGATCGATTCGATGCTGGGTGTGGCACGTTCCAGCTTGTGGCGGGTCAGTATCCGCAGGCAATCGTCTACCATCGTTTTCTGTAGCCTTCGGTACGGTATCTGCAGCTCCCGCCGGGACCTGGAATCTCCCAGCCTCGCGGTCTCGATGTCCTTCTCGTAGGCGAAGAGGTTGGAGACGCAAATGGCAAACCGCTTCCAGGCCACCCCCACGAATTTTTCTTGCTCCTTGAGGATCCGGAGTTTTTCCATCGTCTGCAGGGCCCGGGTCCGCCAGCTCCAGATCAGGTCCCGCTCGCCCCGGAGGAGATCGGCGTGGATGGTCAGGGACGTGTTCGAGTCGTCAAAGGTGACGGGTGCTTCCAGGAACGAGTCCGCCCGGAGGTTGAAGGTGTTGGCCGTTCCCAGCGACGGGGAGTGGCAGGCCGAGACCTCCTTTGCGGGTTTCGGAAGCCCCACGCAGTTGGCACCGCACAGCTCGGGGAAAAAGTTCCAACCGCTTTCCCGAGCGTCCCCGCCCGAGGAGGCCGCGGCCTGGTTCTGCGAAACCGAGGGTGCTTCGGCCAGCGGCCGGACAAACTCGGTCCGGTACAGAAAGGCCTCCATGGATTCGCACGTGGCAATCTCCGCGTTGGCCAGCGAAAACATGATTTCTCCCTGGCCGCGGATCCCGTTCAGGGTGTCGCTCATCCAGCTGGACAGGAGCTGCGGGTCTACCTCGTGCTGGCAGCTCAGAATGTCGGGCAGGCCCAGGTATATGGAGAGGCTCGGAAGCAAGAGACCCCCAAAGAATTCCGTCTGCAGGGACTGCTCGAACCAATAAAAGTCTTCCAGCGACCTCAGGGCGAAGCACGTTGCAAAATCGTGCAGCCGGTTGCCCTCGCGTCGTTGGATGATGACTCGGTATTTCCACAAGGATTCTTCGGGATCCCACTCGGCTCGGGATACGTGGACGACCCACTAAGTTTTGAGGAAGGATTCGAGAGAGACAAAGAACAAGCGTAAGAATGCAAGAACCTCGGAACCCATCCTCCACTATGAAACGGCTCGGTCGTTCTTTCTTGGTAGTATCGAATCGATCCCATCCTACTTACCGTGTGCTCGGTCGTCAGTATGTGTTCTCTCCCAAACGGCTTGGAGAGGACCTTCTTGACGTCGTCCAGAGTGGCATGGCTCTTCCTGCTGCTGCTGCTATTKTTGTTGTTGCTGTTGCTGTCCCTCGGCGAGGAAGCCGACGCCGGGGAGGCCGGGACCGACGAAGAGCCCGGCTTTGTGCCGCGCAGGGACCTCCTGGAAGGGGGCTTTGGCTTGGAAGGATTCGCGCTCGTTTCAAGAGCCGGTGCCTCGGCGAAGGAACGGTTCCTCCGCTTGGGCTTGATCCGTATGTGTTTCGGCGTTCCCGCCGACCGACTTGCCTCCGGCGAGGGACCGGGGGCATCCCTTGCCGGCGAGGAGGGCTGCTGTTGCTGTTGCTCCTGCTGCGCCGCCGACGCCTTGCCCTTGAGCGACCGCCGCAGCAGGGACCGGCTCTTGGTGAGGGACCGGCTCCGGCTGCGGCTGCGACCGAGGCTCCGGTTCCGCACCAGGGACCTGGTCGATTGCGATTTCTTCGCGCTGCTGGCTTCCTTGATGGCCTCGTTGATGTGGTCGATGACGTCGTCCTTCTTGCCCGATGGCCGGGAGGAGGGAAAGCTGCTTTTGTTTTTGTCGCCGCTGCCGTTCCTGGGCTTGCTCCTAGAGCTGGGCCTGCCGGCTTTTTTGCCKGAGGGGTTCTTTCTTGGCTGGAAATCGTCGCTGTGGTTGTGGTTTTGGTTGTTTTTGTGGTTGTTGCGTTCGGGGTCGTCAAAGGTGAAGGCGGATGGCAAAAAGTCTGCGGTTGCCAGTTCGAACTCGTTTTGGCTGTCGTTCGTGCTGACGCTCGTGTTTAGGTTGGGTTTCGCGTTCGCGTTCGCGTTTGTGAAAGCGTCAATGTCCACTCCCGCGGCATCAATCGAATAATCGTAGCCGAAAAAGTCCGTGTCGTCCGCATCGGCGTAGTTGTTGTTCTTGTGGTGGTGGTTGCTGCTGCTGCTGCTGCCTTGTTGCCCCTTTCCAAAGAGCCGCTTCCAGGATCCTCCCTTTCTCCCGGCAACCTGCCCCGATCGATCTCCGTCGTCCGTGCTCGGTGGCATCTGGTCGGAAAGCATCGGGGCCTCCTGCGGGAGCAGCGGTCTGTGCTGCCGGTCGCGCTTCGATCTCAGCTTCATCATGGTGCGGTGGGTGTTTTTGTGTTGCGTGCTGCGTATGTGCTTTGCGTGCCCCCGTGCTGTTCTGTTCTGCTATGTTCTGTGCTCTGTTGCGTTGTGCTTTGCGGTTGGCCTGGAGACTCGCTCAAGGAAAGCCTCTCGGTGTGCTATCTCTATCTCGCGTTACCTATCTCCCTCTCGTTTTCTCTCCGCTGCTTTACCCTATCCTGTGCTCCTCGTGGTTTGGTGGCTCTCGCAAACAACACGGCAGACCCAGTGCTTGTCTTTGGCAAACGGTATTGGCTTTGTTTCTGTCGTTGCCTTGGTTTCGGTGGTACTCCTGCTCGTTCTCTAAGCCCTGCCGTGCGGTCTCTCTCGGATCAACAATCCGGATCGTTCAGTTCCCACAATTTGTCATTCTCGGTTGCAGTTACGAGGAGCAAACTATCGTACTCGTAGTCGTACCGGTACCATACCGGTAAAGTACTTTACCCTACCATGCATCTATCCATACTACGGTATGTTATGTTTATGTTGTGCCTGTGGCGTAGGAATTATGTACCGGTAGGTAGTGTACGTATTTCTAGCCTTACCGTATTGCGCGCTGCCGGAAACGGCAGAAAATTCGGGGTTGAGTCTTACTATCATTTTTCTTGGGCACCCCATCGACGGTCGTGTAGGACGAGGCCCGGGCTTTTGGGTCGGAGTATAATTCCAATGTCTTCAGCCACGAGGAATTCAAATCCCGTTATTTAACGGCTGGATAGTTAGCATCTCATTGGTCCGCACTGCACGTCGGCCTTCCTGCCGCGCGGTACGGAAGCTACCCGACAAAACCGTGTTTGGAAACACGAATGACCCCGTACCATGTGGGCACGCGCTGTGCTGCGGGGAGGGATGGACGAGGCACCGATTCGTGCTTGGGTACCTACCGATCGTATTCACGCTGCATACGATAGCAAAAAAAGGATGGTTTGGTTTGAAAAAAAAAAGTTCGAGTTTTCGATTCTCGAACTTTTCGAATCAACAGTTGCGGCAACACAACCTACTGGTACCGGAGAATCACAACAACCTTTGCCGGTGACACACCAGGACCCCATTGGAATTCGGAACACCAACCACAAGCCGGAAGGACGCCACCTACAGTTTTTCTTGTGGTAGCAGAAGCGATCGACGTCGAAAGAAAGTTTTGTTTGCAAAGCGAGCCAAAGGCAGAACAGAGCCTTGCCATTTCACCACACCGGGACCATCCACGAAAGACCTCTTTCCTCGTCGATCGACAACCCATTCCACACCAACGAGCATTACGGTCACCGTTGCCACCCGAAAATCAGATCGATAGTCCCACAGAATGCTTCCGTTTGTCCCGGAACCGACCACCAAGTGGACCCTCGCGGCACTCGTGGTTTCCTCCTCCCTGCTCTTGTTGGCCCTGGACGGGGGTCTTCGGGGGATGCGGCCGCGGACCCTCTCGGTCGCCTTTGTCGGAAACTCCTTCACCTTTGTCAACGACCTGCCCCGGGTTCTGGAAGCCATGGCCGGCGAGGACACTGTGGGCAGAGCGGAAGCGGGGATGGAACAGGATTCCTGCCTGCACGGGGGCCTCTCCGTGACCTCCCTCCTGGAGCGGGGAAACGGGATGTACGCCTTTTGGGGCAACGGCAATAGCTACGACGACGATGGCAACAAAAACAACAACGAATTCAGCAGCAACGACGACGGCAGTGCGGGTGGGTTCCCCGATTACGGTGCCTGCACCGTTTCACAGTTGCTTCTGGGCTACGACGAGGCTATTGTTAGCAACGACGACGACGACGAGAACAACAACTTTGAGGAATACTACACAAACGATGGGTTGAATCCCTGCTTCCGGGACGCCGATTACCGGGCATACTCTGCCTCGCTCCGATCGGCACGAAAGAATCCATACGGCAACAAGAACAACAAGAACAACAACAACAACGACGACGACGAAAACGGCGCCACCCCGCCGCGCTGGGACTACGTCGTCATCAACGACCAGTCGATGTACCCCGCCGTGGACTCCAAGCGGGCCAAGAGCGCGTCGGCGTTACAGTACGCCTACGCGCCGATGCTCAACGCCTCCGGGGCGGTCCCGGTCCTCTACCAGACCTGGGCCTACTGGAGGAACGACACCGACACCGTCATGGACGGCCTCGTGGACGTCCCCACCTTTGCGAAACGCCTGGCGGAGGGCTACGAGTACTACGCGGGGGTCCTCGGAGGGGAGCTCCCGGCCCGCAAGCGGCCGAGGATCGCGCCCGTGGGAAACGGTAAGGACGACGCGCGTTGGTGGTTGTATTTGTGGCGAGAAAGATCGGTGCGGTGCTGTATCAGCGAAACGAACACTTGGAAAGAGCCACTGCGCCATCCAAACATTCCAGGGCTGAAGTATAAGTTCCTCATCTACGTTGTTGCTTTGTTATTTTCTCTATGTGCATTCTATTCGAACCACCCCCGCTAGCATTCCTTGTCCTCTGGGAGGAAAACATTTCGTTCTGGAACCGGTTGTTCGGAGAAGACCTGTACCACCCGAGCCCCCACGGGACCTACCTGGCGGCGTGCGTGGTGTACGCCACCATCTACGGCCGGATGCCGCCGGCCTCGACCCGGTTCACTACCGAGCTCTTTGCGCGCTCCCGCAGTATGCAGCTCTCGGGGGAGGAACAGCCGCTGCCCACCGAGGAGGAGGCGCTGTACCTGCGCTGGATCGCCAAGAGGGTGGCCCTGGAGGGATTCGTCCCCAGGAGCCTAAGAACGAACCGCACCCGAACCTGATTTTATCCCGGTGGGCAGTGCGATGTATGGGGGTTTGCTCTGCATTATTCGTTAGCGTCTGGCGCTGCGGGATTCGGTGCGAGGCGTAAAGATCCTTCGATCGTGGGTGCCGGATGGGAATCTATCTTCCGAGCCAAGCCAAGCCCGGCCGCGGGGAGGCCTACCCTTGAACGTCGTGGGTATGGGCCGGGGACAGCGGTCTCGAGCCGGCGAGGAGCCGCTGCCCGGGCAGCTTGCCCGTCCGGGCGGCCTCTCCGAGCTCGTCCAGGCCGATCGTTTCGAGGCCGATGGCCCCGAGGAGGTCGTTCTCGGCCGAGAAGTTCCGCCCGTACATGGCGTCGCAGATCCTCATGCCCGATTCGTGGAGGACGGCGGGCCGGCCGACCAGCTTTCCGAGCGCCACGACGGGCGCCAGGCCGTAGGGGACGTCCTCCGTGACGTACCTGGAATCGGCGGCGGTGGGGCCGTGGACGTCGTTGCCCTTTTCGTAGATGTTCTGGCACATCTCCGAGAGCGATCCCGAAGCGGGGATCGGCACGTGGAAGGACAGAGAAAAGTGGTCGTAGACCGTCTTGACGTCCAGCCCCAGTGCGGAGGCAATCTCCAGCCGCTCTTTGTCGAGGGCCTCGAGGAAGCCGCCGATCTTTGGCGTGATGTTTTGGAACTGGTACCATTCCTCTCCCTTGTCCATTCGGCTGATGTTGCCCATGGCGATGGCCAGGTGGTTCTGCGGGTTCAGGTTCGACAGGGTGATGGCCAGCAGCCCCTCCCTCGGCCGGAACTCCGTGTCCGGGAAGAGCCGCTCGCAGAGCTCCAGGGACGAGGCCGAGTCCCCCTCCGGAAGGCAGCTCGAGTCGACGGATTTCCGTATGGTTTTGATGTCGACGCTTGTGCCCGACGTGCGTCTCGCGGTACAGACCGTGGTGCCCCAGGACGTGATGGTGTGGTGGTGGTTGCCGAGCTGGTGGAGAAACTGGGAGAGATAGAGCGCACCAAAGGAGGCGTGGGACGAGACAATGATGTGCTTCTTTTTCGGTGGAGCACCAGCGGCCGCAGGCGAGGAATCCGACGACGACGACGACAGGTGGGGCGCCAGGGCATCGAATATCTGTTTGTGTCCGTTGGCGGGGAGGGCAATGATCAGCACGTCGGACTTCTTCACCAATTCCTCGGCGCTCGAAGCGATCTCTGGGTCGAATTCGTGGCGCAGTGCCCCCGTGGAAGAAACCGTGGACGGCCCCTCGTCTCCGCTGCCGTTGTCCCTGGATACTAGATCGGCCGTTCCTTTCCCGGACGGAGACCACAGAATGCTCTCGTGCCCGTTCTTGGAGAGAATCGAGGCCGTCCCGAACGCAACGGCACCGGCACCTGCAATACCGACCCGCAGCGGGCCCTGCGAGCATTCCGTGTGGCTTTCCCCCCGGTGTGTTGCCGAAAGGCGTTCTTGTTCCCAGATGCGGCAGTTCGAACGCCTGTGGTCCGAGCCGGTGAACTCCCATCGAACATTCCGGGAACCGCCGCGAACCGCAAAGGAGGTCACGGCTGCGAAATTCCACGCCAGGAGTGCCGCTGTTGCAACCCTATGGTGGTGCATCGTGAAATAGTGTCGATGAAATACGGAAAACTGTCTTCTGTCGGCCTACACTACCGGTTCCGCCCGAACCCAACTTTTTTCATAAGCTAGTATGCACTTATTCAAAACCAATCGACTCAGAGGAACGGCTCGGCATTCAGAAAAAATAGGTAGTTGCTGATGATGCAGTAGACTACAATGGAACAAACAAGCTGTCGTTGTAGTTCTGATGCATTACTTTGTTGACGTTGATGAGAACAACCCATTTCTGTCCCTAGTATCGTTGCGTACCTGTACTCGTACGATACCGCACGGTACAAAATCCAGAACGGCTTACGATGACACGCCTCATCATCATCAGGATGATGATTGCACAATAATCTTGACAGAATGATCGATGAATCTGGAAAGGTCGAAATTTGATGCATAGGAGTACCAGTGCTACCTCGTACGTACGTACGTACGTACTGTACAATGTTGCAGTATGTAATACGGTATGTACTGTACCGTTCACTACTTCCCTCGCCGAACAGAACTGTAGCCGTACTGTACGTACTGGCCAACATATGACCCATGCGATGCCATGCCAGATGCTAGCCCTTACGTACGTAGTACCTGTAGGAATTACAGTACTAGATGAAATACAGTATGAACTATGAAATATGGCATATGTTCATACCAGAACAGGTACGTTCATACCCAAAGCGGATTATGAATTATGACTCCATTGATTTACTCTATGTACGTACTGTATCTACTTACGGTGGGCGTACAGTACAAACATTTATTTTTTGGTCGCGCAAGCACGGTGATGTGGGGAAAATATTTTGTTTAATCCAAAGCACCTCTCTACCGGTACGAACAAGAATTAGTCCATTTTCTGATTGAGTCAGATACCAAACGCCATAAAGCAATCAGGTCCGCAAGGAGTTCAGGTTTTGATCTTCCGGAAACATCGTTTTTTCTTCGTCTTTATTTCCTTTGTTAGTTAAAGAAACGCCATGAGATCTGCACGCACCCTCTACCATCCCTTGAACCACATCTGGCTTCGAGCGGCGAAGCACGTTCCGACGAAAAACGGATCCACAGGGTTGCCGCGGCAGCAATCCCATCGATTCCTGGAAATGGGCCTCACGGAACGGGGGATGGAAGACATCGGGGACATTACCTCCGTTCGGTGGTCGGACCGCATTTCGAGAGACCACCGCCGGTGCGACGCCGAGAAAAGCGTCGTCACCGCAGATGTACAAAGGGGGGACGAGCTGATGCACATCCACTTCGACGGCCACGCCATAACCAGCGCGGACGAACTGTACCACACGGTGTGGGAAACCTTCTCGGACCGCCTGTCGATCGCATCCCCGCTGTCGGGGACCATACGTCGGAACGGCAGCCACGGGGACGACACCGAGGGATTGGAATCGCTGGAGACAGACGGCATCGACGACGACACCGTCCTGCTGGAAATCACGGCGACGGAAGAGGAATGGAACCGGGCATCCCGGGAAAACGGGTTCGTGACGGAATCGGAATACCTGGAAATTACAGAGCGAGAGCCACGGGGGGCTTTCCATTGATGAAGCCAGAGGCAATTGCTTTAAACAATCGATTTATCATATAGAGCGGCTTGTACTTTTCCTTTAATCATTTACGGAATGCGTTGCTTGGGTTCACGACAATCGAATCTTTTGTAGTAGCAATCAGGTTAAACAGTATCATTCCGAATTCATCGAAGTAGATGATAATCATGATTTCGGTAACCATCACAAAAATATTGCTTTTCGAATTTATTTGGCGTGGCGATGCAATACGCTCGTGTTCTAACTGTTGAGATGTCTTACGATTGAAAAAATAAATGAATGTTTTACATATCTTTTAACATGAACAGAGGATCGTTCTGATCGTCCTGTCGCACCTGGCTGTTCCCCGGAACTTTCATGGACATTCCTCCCTGTCCCGGCATCTGAAATTGTTGCTGGGCCGTCATCTGTGGAAAAAACTGGGGGTTTGGCCGCATGGCCTGCGGCTGGATCTGGGCGTAGTTCACGTTTTGCTGGTTCTGGTGCTGCGGGTGATGTTGCTGGTGGCGCTGGTGGTGGTGCGATTGTTGCTGTTGTTGTTGCTGCTGCTGTTGCTGCTGCATCATTCGGAACTGGTTCCCCATGTTCTGGAACTGGTTGAAGGATCCCCGGTGGGCCGCTTGCTGCTGCTGTGGCGCTACAGGCGACGGCATGGCGTTCATGAACTGGTTGTTGTACGGGTTTTGTTGCTGCTGAGGCATCGGTTGCTGCAGGAACGGTGCCGGTTGCTGTTGCTGTGGTTGCTGCTGCTGTTGTGGTATTTGCTGCTGGTGCTGGTGCTGCTGTTGGTGCTGCTGTTGGTGCTGCTGTTGGTGCTGCTGTTGGTGCTGTGGCTGTTGGTGCTGTTGCGGCTGCTGTTGGTGGTGGTGCTGTTGCTCCCGGTGTTGCTGCTGCTGCTGCTGGTGTTTTGGTTGGTGCTGCTGCTGGTGTTGTTGTTGCTGTTGGAGCTGCTGCTGTTGCGGCTGGGTCATGATGGGCCTGGGCCGGAACGCGGCGTCGTCCACGGGGATCTTTCTCGGCGGTTCGGCTCTCTGTCTCTGCACAACCACTGGGAATGGGCGGGGAGTCTCGATCTGTGCGTTGGTTTTTCGTTTCTTGGACTTTTCCACCCTTGTCGTGTTCGAAATGCTTGCGGAGCTCTGTTTCGAAACCCCGGAATCGGAGGACATGCTGGCCGACTGCCTCTTCTTGCTCGCCTTGACAGAAGGCGATGGAGTGTCCTTCGTAGACGAAGACTTTCGTCTTGCCGACGAAGACTTGATGGCCTGTGCCTTGCTGATGCTGAAGGCGTAGCCAAGTTTCAGTGTGTCGCGTGTCATCCTCAGGGGATCGTTGCTGGTTTGGTTGGCTATCGATGGAAAACGGCGGACAAGCGTGAGCTGCGAAAAGGGGTACGAAACCGGCAAGAACGAGAAAGATTTTTTTGGTTCGTCGACAAAGTGATCGTCCGTGTGTGTGTGTGTACTTACGATCCGCGGATTTCGCCATGGCGGGATCCGTTTCGGCAAGGCTCGTCGCCGTCGCGACCGCCGACAGGGGGGTTTCGAGAGATCTCAGGTGCGTGCTGTTGATCATCGACGCCGCCTGGCTTCCGGGGGCCGAGTAGAGCTCGGAAAGATTGTGCTGGACCAGTGGCTGCCGCGGAGGACACGGAAGAATCCTGTCGTCCGAACCATCGTCCCTGTCGACCCCGAGTTTTAGGTACCAGCCTAAAGAGATGGAGAGAGAGAGAGAAAAGAAACGGTGAGTTGCCCGCGCGCAGTGCCCCAAGGATAGCATGCTTGCTTCCTCAAGCCTTCAGGCGCTCAAGGTGCATCGAACGTACCCGGTTCGGCCCACACCGAAGCCGACGGAACGGAGGGGATGGTTTCGTCGTCTTTTTCAAAGGGGTGGGTGGCCAGCAGGTAGGCCTGCTCGGCCCTGACGAGCTCTTCCTCGAGCCTTGCCTTGGTGTTCCGGACGGCGGTTTCGCTCGCGTTCAGCTTGGCCGCGATCTCGCTCCTCATGCTGTTCGCCATGGACGCAAAGGTGGGCCGCAGGACGATCTGCTGGCGGCGGCGGTGCATCTTGTACCAGAGGCTCCTGCGGAGGGGAGGGGGAACCGCCGGCAGGCTCTGCACCCAGTTGCTCGACGTGTTGCTGTTCCGCTTCTGGTTGAGCTGGTCCCTCCTCATGTCCGCGGTCAGGCCGAGGATCTCGATGGTGTCCCGGACTCTGGTGGTGGGGTTCTCGGCCAGCTTGGTCTGCACGAGGTTCACCTTGCCGCTTCGAACGTTGTCGACGAGGGTTTTCTTGGCCTTGATGTCGGCCTTGAGGGAGGCGCTGACCTTTTGCATCTGTTTCATGGCCAGTTCCCTCTTCCCGAGCGACAGGAGGAGCTCCTTGTTTTTGGCACGGATGGCCGCCCCCCGCTTTTCCGAGCTCTCGATCGAATGGTTGAATTTCAGGGCCGCCTGTTCCAGTTTTCGGGTGTCGTTCGGGTTGTTTGTGGGCAGCGGCTTCATGTCTGGAAAAGAAAAAGAGGAGGAAAAAAAAAAAACGCTGAGAGAAAGTGTGCAGAGTCGGGCCAATCCGTTGCTGCGCTTCAAACGACACGGCACGACACGGCACCACACAACACGATGCGATGAGACACGATGCGACACGTACCCGGACCAAAGTACCTGGCGTACTTGGTGCGGAAATTCTGGGCGTGCAGCTTGGTTTTCTCGAGAAGCTTCATGGTTTCCTTGTACCTGACCGCCAGGTCGTTCCGCTGCTTCTTGAGAATGTCCATGTTTTTGGTCATCTCCTCCATGTTGGAGGAGCAGGCGCTGTCCTTTTCCTCGAGCTTCTTGAGCTCGTCGATCTGCTTCTTCATGATGGCCTCCGCGCGCTGGATGGAGGCGGTCGTGTCGCTCGTCCGGAGGTCCGTCATGACGCACCGGACGTGGCCCCCGTTCTGGGCGACCGTGTCGCCAAAGGTCAGCTTCAGGACGTCGCAGGCGTGGGGGACCTCCCCGCAGACGATCGACTCGAGGATCTTTCGGGCCCGGACGCCCCACGGAAAAAAGTGCTTGGCCCCCTCCTGAAGGGAAGGGTCCTTTTTCTTGCTGGCCTCGGCCTTGTTGGTCTCGGTCATCTCGGAGAGCCAGATGCCCTCGTTGTGGATCTCTACCGAGAGCTGCCGGTTGATCTGGCTGAGGACGCCCTTGCGGTGCTTGTGGCGGGTGGCGGCCCCGGAGGCCGCGTGCGGGGATTCCCTCCGCCAGTCGGAAGCCGTCTTGAACGGGGAGACGGGCCGCATCGCGGTCGCTTCCTCCTTGCCGGGTGTCGTCTGCCTTTCCGGGGACGAAGGGGGGCTCGGTGCTGTTGTTGTTGTCTTGTTGTCGGGTTTGGCGCCAGCGTCTTGGCCCGCCAGAGGGTCGTCCCCCAGGGCCAACAGCTCCTTTTCCAGGACGGCCCGCCGCCTGGCCACCGCCTGCAGGTGCCTCTTGATGTGCCGGTGCTTGAGCTGGTTGTAGCTGGCGTGGACCTTGTTGTGTATGGTTTCGAACTGGGCGGCCATCTCGCGGTACCGCTTCTCGAAGGCGTTCTTGAGGTTGGCCTGCTCCCGCTCGAAGTGCACCTGGCACTTCTTGACGACCTCCTTTCCCTTCCGGGAAAACTCCTCGAGCTGTCGGTTGTGCTTCTCGCTGAGCCTCCGGGCGAGCTGGGCCCACTCGGCGTGGGCGACCTGCGGGGAAAGCTGCCGGCGCTGGACCTGCTGCTGGTGCTGCTGGAGGTACTTCTGGGACTCGTCCTTGTGCTTCTTGCGCAGGATGGCGACCCCGTTGTCGATCTTGGACTGGTTGCTGTGCGAGCGCAGGTTGTAGGCCTGCTGGAGCCGCGAGAAGTCCCGCTTGTGGTCCGCGGCCTGTTTCTGCTTGTGCTTCTCGATGTGGTGGTCCGTGCTGGCCTGCTTCGCCCGGAGCTGCTGGTTCACGATCGCCACGATCCGTTCCCTCCCCCTCTGTTCCTCGGTTTCGAGGCTGGAAAGGGCGGCCCTGATGCGGTCTTCCTTCTCCTTCCTGAGGAGGTTCCGGTGGGTGGGGTCCTGGTCCTCGTGGGGCTCCTCGAAGAACCGGAGCGAGTCCTCGAGCTCCTTCTCGTCGAGGACCCACCGGTTTTCGGCAAGGGGGAAGGAGAGACCCCCGCACCGATCCTCCAGAAGGCAGCAGGGGTCCGCCACCGGGGTGACCGTGCGTGCTTGGGCAAGCGCACGACTCCCGGTGGCCATGCCCGCGATCTTGATCCCGATTTTCTTTCGGCGTGTTTTGCGTGGCTTCGGTTTCGTTCGGCTTGCTTGCATGCTGTTTCGAAAGGCTTCAAAGCCATCGTCTTCGTCTGGATCCCCGTCGTCCTTGTCCTTGTCCTCGTCCTTGTCCTCGGCCTTGACCTTGTCCTTGTCCTTGTCCTTGCCGTTCGTTTCTTCCGCCGTTGCGGTGGAAGGTTTTGCCTCAACTATTTCGGCATCGCCGTCCGGAGCCTTCGGAGCACCTTCCAAACGCGCAGCGTCCGGTGTCCCAATGGCAGCCCGTTCTTCGAGGCCATCGTTGTTGCTGCTGCCCCCGCCTGGATCGGAATCGGCCATCTGGACGTCCACCGGCGGTTCCTTCCGTTCTGTTTCGACGGGGGCAGCGGCAGCGAAGGCATCACCTGGGATCTCTTGCACCGGCTCGTCCCCGGCGTTCCCGGCGGCTGCCGCAGCTACAACGGCCTCGTTCTCTCCTCCCGCACCCGGTTTTGGGACGCCTTCGAACGTGTTGCTTCCCGGTTCTTTTTCGTCCTTGCCGGTGGTCTCCCATGGCGCTCTTGCTGCCCCCGGATCGGCCCCTTCTCGGTGTTTGGGAGGCTCCTCGTTCTCGTTCTCGTTCTCGTTCTCGTGCTCGTGCTCGTTCTCGCCGGTGGTCGTGGTGTCTCGTTTCGTCGCCGATTCCAAATCCTCCGGTCGCGTCTGTGTGTGTGTGTGTGTCTGTGTCTGTGCCTGTCTTTCTCCCGGCCCGTCGGCGGCGGTGTTCCCGTTCCCCTTCTGCTTCTCCTCGCCGCTGGCATAGTCCCCTGCGTTGGGTGGTTCCCCCCCCTTGTCTTTGGAAACACCACCGGCGGTGGCTTCTTCGGCCGGTTGCGCTTGGGATGGTGCTTGGGCTTGCTCCTGCGCTGGTGCTTGCGCTTGGGCTGGTGCTTGGGCTTGCTCCTGCGCTTGCCCCCCTTGGTGTTGTTCTTGTTCTTGCTTCCCCCCGACTCGGGCCGGTGCCCGCCCTTTCGCTTCCGCTTGCGGTGGCCTTTCCTCCGTTCCTGCGGTGCTTCCGTCCCTGGTTGGGGGAGGGCGGCCCGGCTCTCCACCGGCCCCCGCTCTTGCGTTTTCCCCTCCGCTTTGTTCCGTTTTTGGGCTGTTCCAGGGGTGTTTCGCTCTTGATTCCCCCGGTGGATCGCTTTCCGGCCCCTTGCTCCCGCCCGCTTCGGGTGTGGCTTTGGGTGGACCCCCTCCCCCTGCCGGACAAGGAGCCCTCGGTCCTTCCGGAGCTTGCGGGGCTTTTCCGCTTGGGCTTGGGCTAGGGCCCGGCCCGGGGGAATCCAAATCCGGCCCTTCCTCCGCGCCGGCCATTGGGGATCGGGTTGTGTTTGTTGGGTGTTTCGCTGTGTGTGTGTGTGTGTTGCTGTGTTCGCTTGTGCTTTGGATGGTTTGCTCGCTCGGTCCTGTGCTGCGGGACGGGAAACACGGTCGCAATGGATGGACCGATCCCAAGATACCGTACTACAACAAGCACACCCTCGTGCTTCCACTTTCGTTCACCAAGGCAGGGTGTGGTGGATCAATTGCCGTGGAGAATTCGCAGGGAACAGGTGCCGTTGTGGTACAGTACAAGGGGGTATCGTACGGTACCTCTAATCTAGCCTCAAGGCACTCTGCCTGCTACGAGTCGTACGGTATGACGGTATGACATACAGTACATGGTACGGCAAGCAAGGACCGTACGAGTACGCTACGGTACTCGTACGCACGCTACTGTACTGTAGGAACTTTCCATACTGTATTGTAGCGTAGCGTAGCTAGAGCGGCAAGCGAAAAAATTACTTGTACGCAGAGTCAAAACCAAAAAAACACAAGCACTGTCTTCGTTGAAAGCATACGGCACCCAAGTTCATATATGTGAAACATATGTATCATATGTATCGTACTTTATCGGTTTGATGGATGACATCTTTGTTGGATTGTTCGAGTGAGTCGGTCTCAAGAATCAAGAAACAATGATACTCTATGGGTTCGTACGGTACGATAGAAGTACTAATACTACTCGTACCGTACGAACCCAAAACAGGATTCGAAACTTTGTTTCGTTTTCACTTATGGTGATCTAAGGATAGTACTTGTACACAATTTTCACTTACAGCTCTTCTCAAGGAAAACATGGGCAATAAATATAAAGATCAATGGATAGAAACGAAGAAAGTATCTAGATACTTTCTACACGAAAAGATTTGCTCCCGGATCTGTGCTACTAAAATCGGCGCTAGTGCACAAAAAGCCTTCCTTGCTATCTTTCGATGCCTTCTAATTCATTTCGCTGCCAATAGAGTGTGGGAGGGATCACGGTGGAACATGGTGTTGCACGCCCTCGACGAAGAAAAATATCAATCAGGACTACGGAAACGAACAGAACATGCTTCCGTCCTATAGTGAATTTTCCTTGACACCTCTTTTCGATCGTTCGAGTTGGACAAAATCTTGTGGAATCTTCTTTGTCGGATCCGGCATGATTTCGCTCACGCACGGTACGCAGCGTTCTCCACGGATCAAATGAAACCGCGGGCGTGATTGCGGTTGCCAAGCGAGAAAATCCATGCACCCTTCGAACCGGCCCCAAGGTAAATTCCCCGGCTCATAGTTTTGCGAAAGCAGTTTTTTTGTTTCGTGGAACCAGAATCCATCCGGTGAGTTGTTGTTTCTTGATCTGCTCCTCGCCTTCGTTCGGGACCGTGCAACCAAAGCATCGGGCAAAAGAATCCGTGGATTGTCTTTTGAGCGAACACCTGCGACCCTTCCCGGTGGTAGATGAGCCACCTTCTCCCTGGATGAGCCACCTTCCCCCGCCGCACCGGTTGTACCCAATCCGGTTCCGAACCAGCAACACCACGAGCACCACGAGCACCACCAACGGGACAAGGACACCCACGCAACCAAGCAGCTATCTCGATTCAAACTAACCATTGCTTCGCTTCCGTCGTTTGTTCTCTCCATTCCATCCACTCCGAACGTGACAGAAATCGCGTTTCGGCACATCCAGAACCAAGCATTCATCCTTCGACATGGTCACCGTTCCCTTCTCCACGCAGCTCGACGGTGAATTCCGCCAGCGCGGCATTTCTGCAAAGGTCAGGGCCAAGTGCACCGAGATCGGCGTCCGGAGCATCGCGGACCTCATCAAGCTGACGGATGCCGAACTCTACCAACACTTCAAGGTCGATGCCAAGTGCGGAAGCATCGACTGGAAACACATCAAGGCTCTGTGGGCCGGTGACGACAACTTCCCGAGGAACTATGTTCCGCCCATCCGCAAGCAGGCCATGAAAAACGGAATCAAGGGATTCTACGTGGACCATCTCGAAAAGAACGGGGTGGACGACTTGAAGGACGTGGACGAGAAACAGCTCTGGGACGTCGCCAAGATTGCCATCAAGAAAAAGGTGCCCCAGAAAGACATCGCGAACGATGTTTACGACATACGCAAAAGCATTGCGAAGACCAGAGACGGTCCCCGCTCGGGAGGAACCGGAGGAAATTCAAACGGCGGCTGGGGAAAACTTCTGGGAGGATTGGGCAAAGGCAAGGGAGGCAAGGGAGGAGGACCTCAATCTTTGCTGGGAGGATTGAGTGGAGGCAAGGGAGGAGGCCAGGGAACCAAAGGGATCAACCCCATTGCCGCGGCCCAGCTTCAGATGTACATGGACGAGGCCGCGGAGATGGAGGACAAGGCCAAGGCCGAACTGGATTCTATGAAACCGGAAGAGTTGGCAAAGAAAACGGGGGAGAAGTTGAAACAAAAGATTGACAATCTCAGACCAGAAGTGGAAACGCCACAAGAATTCTACGACGTTGGAAAAGGATTTCGTGGCATGAAAGCAATCGATGACCTCGACAGGGGGGCTCTTTTTGATGCCACCGACAACTACGGCGAATCCTATGAAAGCAACGAGGTAAGTATCATGGTCGATCTTTTATTCGCTTGCTTTGACCCCGCGCATCCGTGGTTTCTAACGCATCGATTTCTCCGCCATCCATTGCTAGGATTTGGTTGCTGGAGTTTCGGGAGGTCTTTGTTTGACAGGTCTCAGCATTGATCTGGAAGATAATTCGGTAGATCTAGGATTGCTACCCGTCCTCAGCAAGCCATCCCGGGTTCAGTGCTTTGGTGTCACTGTCCCATTCGAATCCAATGTTGTGAATGAAGTGAGTGAAACGGATGCGTATCGGTTCATAGCTAACGTAAAGTCATTTGGGATGACCACCGCCAAGACATCTCGAGTCACTGGTGGTGGTTCCATTGGCATTGGTTTTGGACCATTTGGAGCAAAAAAGAAGTTTAGCTATGGCAAAGAGAGACAGTCAATGTTGGCAAAAGAAAGTCAATCAACTAGTAAAACGACTTCAAGAGTGAAAACCAAGTCAGTAACAATTATTGAGTACATGATGGTTCCAAGTAAGTACAAAAAGATTGGCAGCAACTCACGTCCCAGCAATCTCGGCACCGTAATAACGCTCTTTTGTTCCATGTTTTCTCCGAAAAGTGAGAACCTTCTTCATTCCTGAGAGCGAGATGATACTGTCGGAAGACGCAATACTTGATCTCATGGAGGTTAGAGATATGTCATCAGCACGTCGTTTTCTGGATAAATTTGGAAGTCATGTGCCGGTAGTCAAGCGAACTTTGGGTGGCGTCTTCTTCCGACAGATTACACTTTTGTCGGAGGAGGAACTCTCTACCGGCAAGATGTTTGCCGCAGCAGGTACGCAGCTTGATAAGATAAAAAAGAATTCTTTTTCAATGGATGGAGGGGGCACCGGAATGATAAAAGGTGTTACGTTTGGAGGTGGCAATGCAATCTCCAGAAAGACATCCACTTCTTCAAGCAGTGGAAGTGTTGAGTTAAACAAGGATGACAAATCAGATGCAAAATTAACTTGCACCTATAATTACTCTGTTACGTCTCTCGGACCAAACGCTACCACAATGGAAGATTTCTACACTGTGCTCCAGCAAAATGACAGATCTTGGGCGTGCATCGATAGTAGCACACCGCATTCGTGTGTCATTCCAATCTGGAGGCTCGTTGAAAGGCAACGCACACCAATTCATCTCGCGGGCGAGGAGATAAAAATGAGAACCAACGAAGAAATTGCCAAATATCTAAAGGATGGCTGGCTAGACGGATTGGATGAAGACACGAAACAACGGATGGGCGAGTCGGGTGGTTCTCTGGTATCAGCGATGAAACGGAAGAAAGATTTGGAGCCAAGCTTGGAGAAACTCAGCACGGCTATTTTCGAATCCGTTGCAGGCCTTGAAGATAAAGACATGGAAGATCTCCTGGTGCTACAAAAGATGGTTCATAGTGCTTCAATTATAATGGCCGAGCCTAGCAGTAATGCAAACGCAATCCCTCATCTAGAAAGATTGGATGACTCCAGAGGAATTGATTGGATCGAATTGTTTTTAGCTCTTGGACAATCCATCGAATCCAGTTTCGACGACGCTGAAAAAGAAGTTATGGAACGATTCTTCGTCATGTTGCAAAACAATCCAGACTGTGAGCTCAAGCTCGATGCAGAAGCCTATCAAACAGCAAGAGATTTAAAAGGCGATGACTGGAGATATTTCTCTCAGTTTTTCAATACCTTCCTGGAGAAAGAATGGAAAGTCGGTTTCTCGAGGTGGGATGGACTCATTCCTCGTTCTGGCATCAAGGCGACTCTGACTTATCCCCAGAGATTCGGACACAAAACGAATTCCGCATTTTTCTTTGCCGCTGGTAACTTCTACAAGTGGGATCTGGGATCACACAAACTACTCCAGAAAGGAAAATTTTCGGAACTTTATCCAACAGTAACTGCCTACAAAGCAATACATATTTTTCCTGACACAGTTCAAAAGCCATTTGTATATTTCATTGGAGTCCCCCCCTATTACAACAGGTGGAAACTCAAAGAAGATCGATTGTCTGGTGCAAAGATTCTAGCGAATAAAACACATTGGCCGCAGCTGGCAAAAATTGGTCAGGACGTCGATGCTACCCTAACCTTTCCTGCCGAAAATATGCCAGATTATGCAGCTGAAGATCGTAGATACTATTGGTTTGTTGGTGAATATTACTACACACTTGCTACTAACGACGGTACTACGGAACCAGAGAAGAAGGAGAAGATATGTGACGGATTTCCGGGCCTTCCGGCGGGAAAGAAAATCGATGCGGTATTTGTTTACCCTCACGATCAACCTTCTAAACCTCCATTTTATGCGAAAGATATCGCATACTTCTTTATCGGTGAGAGATACTACATGTGGGACTACAAGGTCCGCAAGCTGGTGTCGCCAAAGGGCTACCTAATCTCAAGAAAAGATCTCCTTTAGGTCTCCTTGGTACTGGAGTCAGTTTTCGTTACTTGTTGAATGCACAGGAGCGCAAAAGATGCATTGGTTCACCTGCCTGTGAGGGGTAAAACAAACCAAAGAACTACAATCTTTGATAGCATGAAAGATACATTAGTCGAGCTTCCCGACCCGCCCACTGATTCGTGAAATAAATCACATAAATTAAATTGTTTATTCTCGTTGTGTTAAGATTACAAAAGTTTGATATGAAGTGATCAGTATTGGAGGAATGCATATTCTCAGCCAATCACACTGGTCTCGTTCGTCATATTTTTCAAACCCCAGTGGCATGGGAGTATTGCTTACACATTGTAGGTGTAAATGTCTGTAATGTATTTGTACCGGTATATGACCGCCTTTACTGCATCGTCCATCGTTGGCAATGGCCAAGTGCAGCGCCCGTCGGTGTCGACAAGTTTATCGATGAATCACGGCACAGTTCGAACCGTATGAGTGTTCTTCCAAATCCAGGAAAAAGATACCGGTATGGTTTATTTATATTATATTTTTGAAGATTTTTTGAAGACTTTGCGTTGTTTTGTCTATGGTTAAGGTTCCTAGCTATGTACGTACGTACTCGTTCGTACTGTCTCACAGCCATTACGTTCTTACCTTGTACGAATACATACAGTACTAATCGTGCGTAGGTAATTCACCTTTGTAGCCTCTATTTTTGGCAACACGTACGAGTACGTACCATACTGTAGAGAAAACGAGATGAGAAGTTTGTATGCATAACACAGGTATGTATCATATGGTACGTATGTACGTATGAGTTGTGAAAATGAACAATGAACTAATGCGTTTTGAGTTTTGACAGACGCTGACTTCTCTCGTCCATCCGTCTGCGCGATCGTGGTGTCCGAATGATTCCAGAATTTCGTACTTGGTATTTGGTGATGGCATCTCTTTTCCAAAAACCAGATTCGGGTTTCAATGAAATCGATCGACACCAATCCAATCGTCTGAAACTCGGCGGCCTACACAACCTTCGACCCAGAAGAAAACAAAGACGAAAGTGACGAGAATTAAAAATATCGACAGGAGCGCAGAGAGCTTGACGACAAAATCGAATCAGTCCATCCGCCTTCTTCAGCTCAACTAAGACTTCGGGAACAAAAACATGGATTTCTCCCTACCACACGTGCACGAAGACTCTCTGGCAACCCTGTCGAAGATTCGGCATATCGATTTACCCGCCAAGGATGAGAGGGGGGGTTCTACTGGCAATGGGGAACCATCGTTGGACGAGCTGCTGATCGAAGAGGCGAACAACGCCGCAGCAAGCTTATTCCTCGGAAAATGGAACAACGACAACAAGGAGAACAACAGTGGTGAGGATGCGATGGACTGTGGGGACAACAGCAGCAAGAGCAACAACAGTAGCCTCACCGTGAATGAGCGTCGAATGCTGATGAATTCAGCTTCCTATCCCGAACGATCCACCMCCCAAACCGAAAAAATCACGGAGGATTCTCTGGTGGTCATTTTCGAGAGTTTCGACAACCTGAAGTTTTGCTACCCCAAAAAAGGAGCGATATTCTCTAACCGCAACGGGCACTTTCACCACGAGGATTTCATCGGAAAACCTTTTGGGTGCAAGATCCGCTCGCGGAACAACCAGGGGTGGGGATTTGTCTACTTGCTCAAACCGACTCCAGAATTGTGGAGCCGGTCCCTGAACCACCGGACTCAGATCATCCATTTCCTTGACGCCAGCATGATCGTCTTCTATCTAAATATCCGGCCGAACATGGTGGTTTGCGAGAGTGGAACGGGGTCGGGGGCGCTCAGTCACTGCATCATGCGGAGCATCGCTCCCAGGGGGATGCTGCACACGTTTGAGTTCAACCAGAAACGCGCCGAGGATGCCAAAAGGGAGTTCGCCAGCAACGGGGTAGGCCATTTATCGAAAGTCCACCACAAGGACGTGTGCGGGAAGCACGGAGCGGGTGGATTCGACCAACCCCAGTCGTCGGTGGATGCGGTTGTGCTGGACCTGCCGGAACCCTGGCTGGCAGTTCCCCACGCGGCATACTGCATCAAGCGAAACGCAAGGCTGGTCTCGTATTCGCCGTGCATCGAACAGGCGCAGAAAACGATCGAAACACTCAAAAAGAATGGATTTCATTCCATCAAAACTATGGAGTTTCGCCTAAAGGAAAACTACGTCGACGAGGTGGAGTACTCGATGCCGCCCACAGAGAAGCGACAGCGGGTCGAGGACAACCGTGTGTATCCCAGGGAAGACAAGGAGATTGCCAGTGGCATCGCTGCGGACGCTGCTGCCTCAAACCAAAGCGAAAAACCGGTGGTAGAAACGAAGGAAGAAAGCGGAATTTGTAAGGATAGTCCAACCGAAGAAAGCACCGAACAATTGAAGACGGGCGATGCAACAAAAATAGGAGAAACGCAACCGGCACCGAAGGGCGCGGAGAAAAATCCGGAGCCGAGTTCCTCAGAGGCCACGGCCCCGGCAGCAGCTAAACGAAAAGCGCCAAAAACAAAACTAGTTGCGCGGCCCTTTGTCATCATGCGAGGCCACACGGCATTCTTAACCTTCGCAACCTCCGGAAATGGCCTTCGACCAAAGCCATAGTTTTCTCAACACGCACTGGATAATAATGATACTAATTATGTAGTTTCGAACTCGATCGTTGGAACATAGTATGGTTCAATCGATAGACGCGTCCCTCTGTTTTGTTATTTCCACGTGTGTACTTGGATGGGAAGAAACGTTTCACGATTGCCCTTCTACGATGCACTTTATCATCAGAATTCAATGTACTGAAGTATCTCACATGCATCTCGGTGCCATAGATCTTTTTTCGTAATTACGTACCACTAAAGTATATGTGAACCACATCTTGCGTTATACAAGTCTTTTACGTAGTGCGGAGCACTTTCTACGAAAAGAATGAAAAATTGCTATCTGACTTCGTGTCATAAAAGTAGTATTCGTAATTCATCATCCACTTAGTGGCGTAAAATGAATACAAAACAAAACACTCTCTACGTTTCTAAAAAAGTGAAAGTAGTGATAGACGAGGCAGAATCTACCGTAGTAGTTGTCGTTGTCCTTCCTTGTATTTCAATATGTTCAGTATTTCCTATTATCTGCAGACTTCAATTCTACTGGCTAGGGAGGCCCACTACACCTACTGTTGATAGATTGCAACCTGATCTGGTTAAATGCTGTATCAGATCGGGCGAGTAACCTGTTCGCCGGTCTTTGGATCGAAGCAGGACAGTACGGGCAGACCCTCGCAGCACACCGTGCAGCATTTGCACCTCACCTCGGGGTAGGATCCGTGGCAATCTGCCACCAGCGTATCTAGTTTTTTGTCACAAATCTCCTTTGGCATGGTCCCCGTAAGGTTGTTGTCGTGTAAATCCAGGTATTCTGTCGTAGCAATACGATTCAATGCCACACAATGCAACGCAAAATAGTTCAGCACAACAGAAGCGGTGAGTAAAATGCTTAAACAATCACCCGTCAGCATTGCGAAATCCGGTGCATTTATAGATCAAGACGAAAGACTCCATTCAGATGTTCCTCCCTTCCATTTCCTTGATCAATCGGACCAGAACCCTTTAGCTTTCTACTTCGATTCGATGCTACAGTATGATACTCACTCAGGTTTGGCAGATTCGCGAGCTCCTTCGGGATCGTTCCAGTGAGCTGGTTTGCGTACAGATCCAAGACTTCGAGCTTCTTCAGCTCCGACAGCTGTTTGGGAATCGTGCCCGCGAAAAAGTTTCCAAACAGGTACAATTCCTTCAGATTCTTCATCCGCATGATTTCCTTGTGGATCGAGCCGAAGAGCCCGTTCATCTGGAGGCGCAAAAATTCACCCTTTTTCATTCCATCCAGCAGCCGGTGAGGAAGGACGCCTTGCAGATCGTTCCCGTGGAGGTCGAGGTCCCGGAGGCTGCCCAGCATACCTAGCTCCCTCGGGATCAGGCCCTCCAGCTCGATGTACCCCAGGTCCAGCTCAACCACCGTACCGAAGAGGTTACACGTGACCCCTTGCCAGGTGCACTCGTGCTTCGGTGTCATCCAGTTCGTGTTGGCCTCCCACTGGGCTCCCTTCGACGAATAATATGTGACGGCCAGGGCGTATCGCTGGGGATTGTAACTTTTTTTCTGGCGGAACATCCAGCACGCGGCCTCGTGTTGCGGGGTTTGCCCGATGATCTTGGCTTCTCCGACTGTAGCTATGAGTTTCTTTAGGTGAGCCTCGTGCTTCTTTTTAATCGTCGGCAGCCCCTTACAAAGATTCTTGTACTTCTCGTGGAGGGGTTTTTGTGCTTTCTGTTTTGTTTTGGCATCGCAGAGAGGTGTCCACGACAGAGCGACGGCCCACACCAGGAACAAGACGATCGAGATTCGATCGGGTGATAGCATTTTGTCGTGATGATATTCCTGTATCTAGACAAGTGTAAACAAATGAGATCGTTGTTTGTTGCACCGTATCAGTATGGGTATTCAGATTGCCGCTCTCCAATCGCGAATCGGGCTACGGAAATAAATGGTTTCGAAGGCTGATGGTTCAACTGTCGACAGACAAAGGATGGAGTTCAACTACCGATGAACAAGAAAAGGATAGATCGTGATACCGGTTGGTGAAGCCCGGTACCGGATGGTATGCGAATCGTCGCTTGGATGCGGGGGAAAGTCATCCGATCTCAAATAACCATCACCCAGGACTGAAGGAGAACCCAACGATTTGGCATCCATCCAAATCATACCACGGAAAGCCTCGTGTTGGGTTTCATTTTTGATCGGTGGCAATAAATCAAAATCTCCATCATCTTCGCCTCAATCATGCGATGTTTTTTCATTCCCGAGTTGGTAATCCCAACTAGTACTACTGTACTACTACTACTAGTACTAGTGCTACTAGTACTACTTTAGTTGGCTGGCTAAGGCACATAGTTTTATGTTGTGAAAACTAAATAAGTGTGCAGATGGAAAAGAATTTAAAAGTGTTTTGAAGCAAACCAGTGAAACCACTCTGGTAGGGAATTGAGTTCAGGAGTATATTCACTTCTTGCACTTGTTGTTGTCACTTGTTTGAGTTGTTTGTTGATAGGTAATTTTCTATTTGTATTCTTGAGGACAGTGTTGGCATTTAGGACATTGGAATTTACTAGTAGCCTTCTTGCTCCGCTGCAGTGTTTCGAAAAGCTAAAGTCTTGATCACTTATTTGTGCTGGCCACCTTCTTCTTGGAGAACATGATCTGTGGTCTCTGGCACTTTCATCCAGTCCTCATTCTATTCATACTTCATGGCATCTTCACAACATCAAACAAAACACTATCTGTCAATATGGATGGTTTGTTGACTTTTAAGTTGAAGATATGTGTTGGTTTTTCCTCCTCTTCAAGAAAGATTGTCTTTTTCAACAAAAGAGAGTCTCCTCCCAGCACTAGTGAGGGATTGTGTTGATTGAAGTCTTGTTGTTGTCCTGTAGTAGTAAAGATAACTGGCAGATTTCCATAGAAAATAAATGATGGATTGTCACAAAATAATTTGAGATGCTCCTTCTTCTTTAATATTTTCAAAGGTTTGTTGCTACTAGTATTACTAGTAACTGATGATATCTCATCCACAATACTAAGAAGACAAGAAGTCTCATTTCCCTCTGTGCCATCCTCAGTAACATTAGATTTGACATTAGATCAGCAGTATGAGTCACTTATGATTTTCTAGTAGTTTCATCAGCTCCTGAGAGAAAACATGTGAACTGCTCTTTATTTTTTCATGGTTGTGTTGAGATCTTGTGTACTAGTTGTTGCAAAAAATAACCAATCTTCCCCTGGAGTGCATTGCTTTTAAATCAATAGCCAGTTCTTGTAGTAGCGCTACTTCTTTCCATTTTGTCAACAGAAAATGTTCTGCTAGGAAATAACTTGTCAGTATCAAAAGATGGTGTGTATGGAATGGTAGTTGTTTTGGCTTGGCAATAGTTACATCAGTGAGGAGGAAAGCATGATGGCTGTGAGAATCATGTTTTTAAAACATTCTTATTAGTAGCAAGCATATTTTTTGCTGTCCTGAATACTATGTTACTTGTAATAACACAAATGTTAGCAACATTAACTGGACAAGCAAAATCCAAAGGATGTGGCTCTCTTACTAGTATTCTTGCTATCTGTCATATTGGTGATATGGCTGAGTTCATTGAGTGTCATCCTTGTCAAAAAGTGTTACAATGGCATCATACCAACTAGTGCTACCAGGAAATATCCTGTCAGTTGATCTTCCTGGCATTAGAATACTCCCTGACAATCTTTGAGAAAGACAATGACACCATCTATTATTGGATTCCCATCCATTGTCACTCAAAACTTGGCCAGCTGTGTTGCAGACTTGTTAGATGGTACTCATCCTGTCTGTGTTGCTACTCACCTCGGTTTTGATGGTTGTATGGCAGGTTACTGAATTGATCAAGAAGGTTCAGGATGACTTTCTACTTTTATAATGACCAATCTTGATATTATTTGAACATTGGAGTCTTGTGACAAGGAAATTTTGGGAGGATCAATCACAAGAATACTATTATTAGTAGTAACAACGAAATGTTTAGGTTGTGTGACAACAAGGAATGGGTTCTCTTCAATTTTGAAATGACCACTGCTAATTCCAGTGCAAATGATCAATTTTGGGGTGCCAGCAAAAGTCTTCATGGATTCTACACAAATGCAATTTTTTTGTTTCTTCCAAAAATAAGGAACAGTAAAAATCACCTAAAAAGGAATTGGCCTATTCTAATAGTAGACTACTTTGCAGTATTCAATTTCTAATTCCTAGAACTAGTAGTAGTACTGGTATTAGAGTCATGTAGATGATATGAAAAGCATATAACAGGCAACATGAGAGCATGTAATGATTCTTCTTTTTGTGGCACACAACAAGTACTCCCAGCACTGGTAGTGGCACATCATCATACCAGTTTTCTAGTACAGTACAACAACATAGTACTATAGCATCCACCAGCCACTGCAGTTTTTATGCATGATGCACAGCAGCAGCAAAATCCATAGGAGTACTATTAATATTACTCAACAAGACTGGCATTGCAGATACTAGTATTTTAGCAAAGAAGAATGTAGTATCAATACTCAACAGGATTGGGACATCAACAATACATTTTACTCAGGGGGCCAAGGGAGGGGGGGGGGGGGGCATGTTGATAATTTAAGTAAATGATGTTTGCTTCCTTGTCCTCATTTGTGTTTTTTCTTTTCTGACAATGATCTAATATACCTACCAGCAAATTGCCAGTGCAGTATCACCACCAGGTAATTTTTTTACCGGAGTGCAATGATCAAAAATGGCATTGCAGAGAAATGAATTAAAAAAGTCTGAAACAGAGACAGCTTCCAGCAATAGCAATCGTAGCAACACAATTAATTCTATGTCCAAATGGGTGATTCCCGTTATTCTAAATCTCTAAATTTTTGGTCTGTCAGTGAATCAAAATTTAGAGTTCATTTAGAACTGTTCCTAAAACTCTAGATTTAGAGTGGAACCCACGAATAAAATAATTTTCCAGTCCCTTGAAAGACTTAACACACTTATCGAAAATGTATTTGTTCCTTCATGTACCTCTTTTTAGCCATTACATAAGATTCCAAATGGAAAAGACTGGCATTGAGCCCATGTCCTCTCAGTCTGTCTGTTGAATGTTTTGATTCCACTGCTTCTAGATCCCTAGATTTAGAGCTTTAGAATAATGGGAATCACCCAATAAATTCACAACTACAGTAGCATTTACAACAATATACAGGCCAGCAGCACATTAGAATTTGCAAGAGTGGACTTCTTCAAAGATCACCAAAGTATTGCTTTAACTTTTTGTTCGTACTGACATCAATCACTAAACCATTGGATTTGATAGTGATTGACAATCTGAACTGGAAAACTGCACTAGTACCAACACAACCCCGAGAGTCGCAGTGTGGTAGCACTGCTAAGAACTCGCAAGCCGTGGACGTTGACATTAATTGGTTGGGTTGGCTGCTCCTCCTCCTGCATCTTCCTTTCTACTAGTACTACTGACGTCTAGGCGATGGTTGCAGATCGGATTGCTGCGCAGCAAAACCGAGGAATCCAATCCAATCCCATCCCATCCCATCCTTTCTCGTGAACCGAAAAACGAACTGCCAAACTACTACTACTGCTGCTGCTACAATAGAATCGGGAACGATTGTCCTCCTTGCGCCGGGGTTCGCTATTTGTTTCCTAGTAACCACTGTACGTACAAAAGTACTACCGTGCTGTGCTCGCCATGGAGACAACCCCCGCCGCCGGGGGTGGG